GCGGGGGCAGCAGGTCCAGCATGGTGAAGAGTGTGGGCGCTGCGGGGTCGTAGGCGAAGCTGTCGTCCAGGAGCTCGGGAGCGCCGGGGGTCTCGAAGCCGGGCAGGGACACTGTGCCAGGTCCGGGGAAGAAGTCTGTGTCGGCCAGCAGGGCTGACTGCTGCAGGAAAGTGCCTGGTGGGAGAAAGATGAAGCTCGCTTTGGGGCCACCGCAAGCGCGCCACCCTGGGTCTATCACCATTCTGATGTGGGTCAGCAAACTGAGCCCAGCCTGGTGATGATGCACACCAGTAATTCCAGCCACTGCTGGGGAGGCTGGCAGGAGAATAGCAAATGTCAGCAAAAGCCCTGGGTTCAATCCCAGTATCACAGAAAGAAAGGCAGGCTGGATGGGGATGTTGTTCAGTGAGAGGCCTTGCTTAGCAGGCATGCTGCCCTGGACCAACCCCTGGCACTGCAAAAAGGCATGGCGGCGGGCACACAGGGCGAAATAACTGGGAAGCCACACTGTCCAACTGTGGGACCAGGATTGAATTCACACTCCTGTAGGGCCATGTAATGTTTTTTTCCAAGAAGTGGGAAGAGGAGGCCCACCTCCAAGTATAGAGAATCCATAAAATGAAATCTCTGTATCACAGACAATCCCCGATCCCAAAACTGGAAGGTAAAATAAATGTCATGATGTGAGAGCCAGGCCAGCCACAGTGGCGCACACCTGTAGTCCTAGCACTCAACAGGCTGAGGCAGGAGGATCTTTTGGAGTTTAAGGCCAGCCTGGGCTATATAGTGAGTTCAAGGCCAACATGAACTATAAAGTGAGACTCTATCTCAAAAACAAACAGAACAAGAGAACCACACATGCCCTAGGCTGGGTATTGAATCCACTGCCTTGATCACAGTAGCTACTAAGCTACACCCTCAGCCCTTCTTTTCTTCTTTTTTCAAACAAAACCTCATTAGCAAGTACTGATTATATTTGTCTCAAAAAGAAACACAGAACTACTGGGTCTCCCTGTCTCCCTTGCAACTTGACGTGATCGCATGTCTTCAGTTCTGTTAAGTGGAATATGGACATGAGAGCTGGAGTTACAGCAGCCAGCCTGGACCAAGAAGTGGAAACCGCAAATTGCAATTGGCAGGAGCTTGGGTCTGTTACGATCATGCGGCCAGCAGGCCATCTCTGGACTGCTTATCTCTAGACCATATTTATGTGAGGAGAAATAAAGTTCTATTAGGTTATTGTGGGTTTTGCTGTAAATGAAGTTAAATAAGATCGTAACAAATGCAGGTGGCATTCTTGATTTCTGGCAAGTTCTTAACAATCTCGGGGCATGAACTCTGTGCCAGCCACTGTAATAAATCACTATGTGACATAATCTTACTAAAGACCTCAAGACCTAAGACATAGGGTCTCCATCTGACAGATGAAGAAACTGAGGCTCCCAGAGGTCACACAGCTGCTGAATCACAGACTCAGAATTGAGACCCACCCTGATTCCAGCGGCCGTGTGTGTAACCACTACACTATCACCACCATGACTTTGACCCAGGAGGGGAGGCGGGGTTTAGAACTTTGAGAAACTGGGCAGGAAGAGGAGTGGTAGGGAGCTGTGGGGATTGGAGGTGGGAGGCTGGTGGAGTGAGCTAGGACTGGTGGCTGCTAGGGACAGGGATACTAGACCTGGGTTACCAGCTGGAGGAGGGCAGAACCACAGGTGGTGCCACATGGGGCAGGTGCCCTGGGCCAGCTGGTGTTGGAATAGCTTGTTTGGCTGCACAGTTCTAGGGACTGAACCCAGGGCCTTTGCACTGAGCAACATCCCAATACTTTCTGATTTTTATTTTGAGACAGGGTCTCACGAAGCAGCCCAGCCTGGGCTGCTTCTAACTGCACCGTTGGTGAGAGTGCAGACTGGTGCAACCACTGCGAAATCAGTGTGGAGATTCCTAAAAGAACTAGGATAGGAGGTCTCATTTGACCCAGCTATTCCCCTGCTGGGTATCTTCCCAAAAGAATGAAAAGCATCATACCACAGTGATATAGGTGCGCCCATGTTCATAGCAGCACAGTTTGTGATAGCTAAAACTTGGAAACAGCCCAAGTGCCCATCAGTGGAGACCGGATAAAGATGTGTTGTGTGTTTTTAAAAATTAAATGGAGTACTATTCAGCCATAAAGAATGATAAACTGGAGACATTTCTAGCTAATTGGATGTACACTGAAGCCATACTCTCAGTGAAATAAATAGGACACACATGTAAATACCGAAGTTTCTCTGGTGTGAGAAACTGAAAGTGTAAATGAGGACCAAAATGTATAACAGACAATGCGAAATAGAAAGAAAAGCTCCAAAGGGGAAGGGGAAAAGGAAGTGGGGGGTAGAGGAAAGGAAAGAAAAATATGAGAAAAGAAAAAAACCAGAAGCACAGTGTTGGTAAATGGGGAGGGGTGGGAGGGAGAGCAGGAAAAATAAGAACCAAGATGCATCGTGCACAGGTACAAATCCCAGTGATGAACGTCATGGTGAATTCCTCAAATGTACCAAGAAACTTAGTGAATAAAAAAAATACAAAACAGAACTTGGGCTCCTTCTGTCTCCGCCTCCAGAGCGCGTCGTCACCTGCTGCCGGCCCCACACATCACTGCTCACCTCTACCTGCCCACTCCCTGCTGCACTGTGACCTGGGGCAAAGGCCTCGCGCCTCTGGTTCTCAGCGGTTCCACCTGTAAGGTGGGGGCTGGCAGGGTGTGAGCACCTACTTCTGTGCCCGCCCCACAGTGTCTGTAAGAGAAATATGCTTTTAAAGGGTTTCTTAAGCCTACAGCACCCCATATCCCCCAGAGGTCCCTTAACCAAGTATGACCAGGCCTGACCCTGTTAACCTCCAAGATCAGATAAGACCGGGAACTTCAAGGCAACGTGGCTCCTGGTTACCTTAAATGGTTACCACTCAGTGAAGTGGTGGTAAGAATTTTCAGAGGAGTGCTGGAGGATCAGAGAGGTGGAGCAACTTGGCAAAGATCACACAGCAAGTGAACATCCTGGCAGAGACCAGCGCCTCCATTAAGCCTCCAGAGCCCTTGTTCTGTCCACACCGTGGTGCTAGCTAAGTGCTGAATCACTGGCCCGGGGGAAGCTGCTAGAAAAGCAGGAGCAGGAGCCTGCAGGGAGCTAGGACTCACCTGAGCTGTGGCTGGGCAGGAAGTGGTCCAGGAAGATCGGCTTCTTCTTCCGCCGTTTGCTCTCAATGCCATGGGGGTCTGAAGAAAGTGAGCACAGAGATGAGGGTGCCTTCCCGGGGGAGGCCACCTCCTCCCAGGGCTCTGGGGATGGGTGCAAAGGGGCAGAGTGGACACACCGGAACTGTTCAGCTCCCCAAGGACGTCGGGCATCCCCCGTTTCCGCTTCTTGTCCACGCCGTAGGTGTCTGTTCAGCAATGCCAAGGGCATACAAGAAATGACCCATCAATACTCGTAACTCACCGATAACCAATCATAGAGACTACTTAGGAAGTGGCTGAGCTGGATCTTGAAAAATAAACATCCATATCCCTTCCAGCTACGCTGGCCTCTTTGTGAGCTTAGACTGTTGTTGTTGTTGTTGTTGTTATTGTTTGGTACCAGAACTCAGGACCTTGTGCTTGCGAGGCAGGTGCAGTGCCACTGAGCTAAATCCCCAGACCCTATTCTGGCTTCTTTGTTGTTCCCTGAACACCTCAGGCATGATGCTACCTCAGGACCTTTGCACTTGCCAGCTGCTTAAAACGCTTCCTCAACTCCCACCCCTGCCCTGGAGGACTGGCTCAGTCATTCTCCCACCCTCCGCTCAGCAGCTCCCCCTCCAGGAAGCCTTCTCTGACCTCAGGGCTGCCCCCTTTGAGCCATCGAGTCCCTTGACCATCTCCATTCCAGTCCCATCTACTCCGGTCATCACGGTGAGCCTTCTGAGGGCAGGGCTGGGGCTATCTTGGTCACCTCTGGATTCCCAGCACACCCTGCGCCACGCCAGGCAGGAGCAGACACACTGAGTAGCCACCGCTCCCGACACCATGAGTAGCAGGTGCTATGTCCGCTCTGCACAGGAGGCCCAGAACGCTGGGCTAGTAAGCAGAGGCGCCGGATGGGAGCCCTAGCCTGGCAAGCTCCCGGCCTGCCTTCCCCCTCTGCCTGGCCCCTGGGGGTGCCAAGGTTACCGTGGTCCCGAGGCAGGTAAGTGAAGGGGAGCGGCTCGCTGCAGACCCCGTCCGTGAGCCGCTGCAGGAAGACGTTGACGGTCACGGGCTCCATGATCTCCAGGTCCTCA